GATGTTTTTATCTGACGAACACCGCAGTTTTTATTGCATCATACTACCAAGTCTACAGGGATACATTGATTTTCAGGGGGAAATTTAGCCATACATATCGTCCCATGTCAAGCGAGGACGCCATCCTAGCTAATCTACGAGCTTGGCCATTGTTGAGCTGTTCATGGCCGAAATTGCAGGACCCAAATGAGATGCTCCGCTTCTTCATCTCATGAAATATCATGCAGTGACCTCCCAGTTTCTTGTAGACTTGAGTTCCCAGACGACCCTCAGACATTCAGATGAGATGTATAGCTTCCCAAGGCTCATCTCTTCGCCCAAAGACATAGCTTCATGACATGCAAGAGCCTCCAGGGTTTCAGGATTAGTGATTCCGTTATACGCCACTGCTGATGCCCCTTGAAACCTTCCATCCCGTGCTCATCACGGCAGACAACACCAGCCACACCTTTGCTCAGTGTATTTGCCATCGCACCATTGACATTCAGCTTCCTATGCGACGGGGGGAGCCATCACTGCGTGGCGGTGCGACCGGCCTTGGTCCCCACATAAAATCATGGTTAGAGATTTCGTCAATGTACTACCTGTTATGAGCAAGTGAGTTTGGTACTCATGCTCTTGGATCGCCCGCCTGCCACCAAGCATACCATATAGGAGTATTCCCTAAGGCCTTGTTCGGTTAGGCATGGATTGGAGGGGTTTGAAAGGGATTAAATCCCTTGCAAGTCAAAATCTCCCTCAAACCTCCCCAATCCCCTTCAATCCCTGTGGTGAGGGGATTAACCGAACATGGCCTAAGGGTGACAAGGACCACGATAAGCTTGTTGCTGCTTAGAGTCTCGCTCAGTTCAAATAGCCATCGCTGCACATCTGGTGTCTCATCTCCATAGATCAGCAACGACGAATCATCATCCCTTAGCGCCCACACACTCTTGGCCATGTTGCAGTCGAGAAGCGAATGCCATCAAGTATTATTTGCTGCGTATTTTTTTTTCTTTTTTTCTTTTGGAGGGAAAATTGCTGCGTTAGTGATAATCCTTAGTTGCACGGTGTAACGCACCCATCACACTTTGAATGAGGTTTAAACAAGGCCCATGAGGAAAAGAGAGAGGCAAGCGAAGCACTAAAACATTCGTTTTGGCAACTTTTAGTTAGGAGAAAGAATGGGAAGTTCAGAGGAGAGAGTTGTGAGATTAGACATGAGAATTGTTATGTTAGTCTCAAGTGTGCTGGGCGTACTTTAATTGAATATAGGTATTACTTTTGGGATTTTGAGAGATGTTTTTTCACTTGTTTTGTTAGTGGGAATTCATGAGGGATTAACCAAGAGATGGCAAGCTACGATAAGGGTCGGATGTTCGTAGAAAAAAAAAGGTTGGATGTTCTCTTTTTTAGGGTCGGATGAAGAGTCGGATGTTCTATGTTAAACAAAGACCGCGCTACAAATTTGATGCCTGATTTTTAACCATGGCAAGTCGATCATTTTTATGGCAAATTACGTGTTGCTGAAGAAAATTGCCATGCCCATGACATGTAATTTGCCATGCTCAAAAACCTGACAGCGGTTTTTAAGCATTTTTGTAAAACAATTCCCTCCAAATTGGTGTGGAGCACTAGGCCTGCCTAGAAAACTTTGATGTAGCTCGTATTTTTTCATAGGCAAACTTAATGCTCGCCTGGATAATGTTGTCTGAATTTCTTTAACGATGGCATTATGGTTGCCTACATAATACTTGGTTTGCTAGTACAACTTTTGTAGGCAAACTTGAGATGCACCAAGCATTGGTATGGAGCATCAAGTTTGCCTACATTATTTTTGTCTGAAGTTCTCTAGAAATGGTTATAAAGAGTGCCTATCTGGTGCAATTCCAATTAAAGTACGCTACCGCCAGCTAATCCAGAAATGTAACACCCCCCCAAACTCCTGTATCTCCATGACCGAAACACAAGTCATATCCCGACTGCTGACTGAGATGATCTTAACTCCTCGTGGCAGCAAGCAATTGGCATAGACCTTATGTTTAGCAGCATGCTCTTCATTAGAGATTGGCTACACAATACAAAAATGAAGGCTCCTCCTCGAATATCAATAGCCCATGCAACACCTAGCCCATCTATTTTGAATTAGAAGATGCAAGATACTACAACCGTTGTCATGTAACAAATGAGTGAAAAGAGCACCACAACCATGTTGTCTTATAAGCTGTAACCAGTGCGTGAAAGAAGCACAAACACGGAAAACATACACTAGTGAGGCAGCGATGACTTATTCAAGGACATTACTGAATATGTAACACTACACATCGCATAGTTTGGTGCCCATGGGATGATCGTGCAAACATAATAGACGGAAAGAGTCTCAGTTCTCTCGTAACTAAGATTAAGACTTAATTAGAATTAAGATATGCATCTTTTCGGTGCCCATGGGAGCGCATGACCCGTCCTAAGCGGGCAGGAGGTATTGGCTTCAGAGATATGCATCTTTTCAACATCGCCCTTCTTGCTAAACAAAGTTGAGACTCCTTCAAAAGCCAGATAGCTTGTGTGCTAGAGTACTCAAGTCTAAATATTATCCCCATGGTCACTTGCTTGATACTGTGTTTCCGTCGAATGCGTCACCGGTCTGGAGAGGAATTGAGGCTTGTTTGGAACTACTTAAGAAAGGAATAATATGGAGAGTGGGGAATGGAAAGAGTATTCAGATTCAGAGAGATCAATGGATCCCGTGACAGGAAGGACTAAAAACATCCACATTCATTCGTCGTTCAAGGCTACGGTGGGTGAACCAACTAATGAGACATGATAGAAAGGAATGGAAGGTTGAGCTCATTAGGCAAATTTTCCATGATTTTGACGTAGATAAAATTTGCAAAATTCATATCCCAAGCTCAGGTACGGAAGATTGCATTGCATGGCACCATGAAAAGAATGGGATCTTCTGTATCAAAAATGTGTACAGACTTGCGGCATCCATCCATGGCCAAGTATCTCAAGCTCTTTCTAGTTCGTCTAGCGTTGCGCTTGACCGAAGCATTTGGGATCTCATTTGGAAGATTAGTGTCCCTCCTAAAGTGAGAATCTTTGGGTGAAGGGTTGTCACTAACACGTTGGCGACAACAAAGAACAAGTGCAGACGGTCGAAGTGGACTCTACGTGTAATATTTGTGGCTGCGGAGAGGAGGACGAATTTCATGCTATAATTGACTGCACGAAGAGCAGAGCCCTGAGAGATGCCATGAGAAAGGAATGGGAGTTGCCACCTGAATCTTCTTTCCGACACACTGGCCCGGACTGGTTGCGGCTGCTGCTTAGTTCTGTCACAGAGAAAATGAGGGCGAGAATACTTATGCTGCGGAGTTGGCATCTGCATGAGGATTGCGTGCATGGGAATGTAAAAGAATTAATTGCAGTCTGTGTTTTTCCTACCGCGTTATAAGGATGATCCGTTAAGACTATTCACAATGGATAGTAACTTAGACTAGTAATATGCATATGTTACTAGTCTATGTTACTACCTCTACAGTGGGGAGTAACATATGTATGATGTCATGCAACACTTCATTTATTAGGGTGTAGACTCATCTTGTCTTGGTATGTGTGATGTTACAGTAACTAGCTATATATGTTACCACATGCCTTTTTTTCCTCATTAATTACTCGCCACATCATTTGTTTTGCCTAGAGATATGTGATGTTACCACCTACTCCTTTCTTTTCGGTTTATAGGGCTTATCTCAAAATTTTAGTTTTTTCATTTTATAAGACTCAATTTGGTTGTTTCCCATCACATGTTTATATTCCAATGTGCATTAAATCATTGCATGCAAGTATTAAGAGAAAATTGACCAATGCATGTAATTTATGCATGCATGCATTGCAATTAATGCATTGGTAAACATATTTTTTTGAGGAAAACAAAAGCATTAATTATGTGTTTTTGAAAACTACAAAAAATATTCCACCATTCATCATCTACCTTGGTTGGTGAGATTTTTGAATTGAGCCTTATAAACCAGAAAGGAGGGAGTATGTTACATTTTTTTTGCGGGTAAGAGGGAGTATGTTACTTTCACCGTGGGTGGTCTAAAAGCAGCTCAAAGAAATCTGTGGGAGCATGGGAAGGACCAGTGGTCCCTGTTGGACCAGGCGCCGAGCATTCCCGCCCAAAAATGCATGCAGTGGACAGCTCTTGTACTTGGAACAGCTAAAATCAATTCGGACGCGGCCTATCTGGCTGACAGTGGGCAGAGTTGGGCGGGAGGCGTTGCTAGGGATCACAACGGTCACGTCTTCCTGTCTGCAGGCAAACAACTCGGGATATCGAGCAACTCTTACAGGACTTCAGGCGTTGGCTGCAGTGTATAATGGACCAGTTGAGTTGGAGATGGACTGCAAATCAGTGGTTGAGCACCTAAAAACTACAGGTCAAATTCGGTCTTCCTGCTATGGAGTAATTCAGGATATCAAAGTGGTATTCTCTAGTTTTGTTACCCACAAAATCTCTTTTGCTGGGAGGGGATGCAATAGACTTGCTCATGAGCTGGCAGCGAAGGCTAGACAATTGGGAGACATGCTAATCATTGCCGGTGTTCCGGATAGTTTACGAAGTCTTATGCTCTCGGAGTGTAATCCCCCTCTTGAGTAATTTATTACTCTTGATTCTAAAAAAAGACT